AAAAAAAAAAAAAAAGAAGAGGGAAAGTCTCTATACTATAATAGCAAATTCAAACAAAGTGTTGACGATGTGCCAGGCATTATCCCAAAACCTTAATACGTATTAACTCATTTTCTCCTCCGTGAGGTAGGTGCCGTCAACATCCCCATTTTACAGATGAGGAAATGCGCTGAGGTCCTGCAACTTCCCCATAGCCTCTCCGAGGGTGGCAGAGCTGGCTCCCTGCAGCCCAGCTGCCCGGCCTCTCTGGTCTTCCTGTAAGTTCCATGCGGTCTTCCAGTTCAACTGCCAATGAAAACCCTCTTATGTTGCTTGTAACGGGCAGTTCGTCTGCTACCAGGCATCCGGGTGCAGCTGGGATTTGTGGGAAATGAAAGGACGGCCTTGATGTCAGAGTGCTTTATCCTCCTTTGTTGTTGTTGGGCATTTAGCATTCCATTGAAGTGATTACAAGTTACCTAGAGTGAACCATCTGCCTGTGTTTTCATTTGCAGGTTCTGTTGTGCTGGAGACTGACAGGGCAGGTAGCCAGGCCTGCGTTCTCACTGCAATTAGCACGGCAATCCCTGGAACCACCGGAAGAATAGCTTCAGGGAGAATTCACTGTTCCCCTTGGAGAAGGCTGGAGCTTTACTCCCCCATCAAGGATGGATGAGCCTCTCCACAGGAACCCAGGGCACTAAGTGTTATTCAAAGTCCTTAGAGCACACACTTGTGTGGTGTGAATCACCACATGTTCAAGTGTGCAGAGAACAGCTCTGTACAGGGGTGAGGGGAGGAAATGGGGGAGGGGGAGGGGAGCGGGCAGCATTAAATAACAGCCTTCAGGTGAAATGTCATCTGCAGGGTTGTTTTTTGTTTTGTTTGGGGTTTTTGGTTGGCGCTTTTTAGTTTCATTTTGCTTTTTGGCAGACCTTTCCCTATAATTCTACAAGGTGAGAGAATGGCAGGGTAGAGGACGGGCCCTTTTGATCTTAAATAACGGTTTGCAAAGACACTTAGGACTCCTGTTCGGCTG